ATATTGACTGCCAGGCGACTTTCTTATCGGCTCTTAGCTGGCCTAAAGAAAGCCCTAAGTTGCTTAAAATTGTACTTGACAGTCTTCAACGACATTCTGATTATTAATATTACTTAGCTTTACAACAAAAACCTAGAAATCAAGTTCTGGTCAGCTACTTAAGGTTCAAAATAGGGGCTACATGCCAGTAAGTTCAGGCACAGAGATCTAGTCAACCAAGCATGCTTTAATTTTTTCTGATATTCTTTGTTCATGTGACATTGAGGTCTCATTCAGTGAGAAATATAGTGGCGGTTCAGTGATACACTCAGAAGTGGCTACCGAAACTTTTGAAAATTTGATTAAGAGCCACCACTCAAAGAAGCTTTGTCAGCACCTGTTGAAAAATACAAAACTCACCACACCTTCACCCCTTCCACTTAAATGCTGACTGTTCCTGGTGGCGATGACGAGTCCGCGCAATTTTGTGTACTCATGTCCTCATCAGTGAACTTAATAGGAAAAGCTCTTACCTGAACCACTTACCTGAAATCCGCCCTACTCGAAAGTCTAACCTAAGATTCGTTCAACAATGTACCGACACAATTATCTGAAGTGGGCGATCATAGGATGGCACAAAAAGATCAAATTGGAGTTTGTGCCTATACGGTTAAACGGTGCTGTGTTCGGTGGTAGTAGTCTTCAGTGATATGAAAGCATTCAGTCGTCTAGCCACTGCAGTGACTTATATGACCATATTTTGGTATAAAACGGAAGCAGGCGTATTTTTAGGACTGGACAGGGTTATAAGTACACCCAAAAGTTCTCAATGCTGGTTGGATTTAGGGTTAGGGCTAACATAAGTAAGATTGGGGGTAATGTCAGGGTTAGTGAGTTTAGGATCGAGGCTAGGATTAGAAAAATTAATACTGTTAGAGTTAGATTTACTGTTAGGACACACGAGTGGGTACTCCCTGTAGTTTATCTCAGGGTTACTTGGAGTACGGAGTGCTAATCTCCGTGTCCAACCATTTTTGGTATGAAAAAAAAATAATTGCTCAGTTATTTGATCTAGCGAGAAGAGTTTAGAATAGCAGTTTCCAATACAAGCAAACATGCGAGTCCCAGGAAGTAATTGAGAAGTAGAAGACAACTCGATGGCTGGGACACTTTGTTTACTTGCTGACGCGACGAATCAGAACACACCCAGGATATTTATCGATTTTTTTCTGTACGGTTAAATTTTACGGCGGAACCCTGTGCACACACAAACTGTTTCTGATACTGTTCTGTGAGTATGTCTCTGAAGATGAATTCACGACGAATATCGAAACGTCAGGCAAATAAACAAAGTGTCCGAGTCGTCTTCTACTTCTCAAAAGTTCCCAGTTATGAAGAAAACCCCCAAAATAACCTCTTATAAATTCACACGATCGCACACACTCCAACTTGAGATTTACATATGCTTCTCATTCCTCCCCTCCCTCTTATTCCTGATTATTCTTTGGTTATTTTTCCTATTTTTCTTAGAAAAAGATATGCTCATCTTAAAACACGTTCTCCGAATACTCTCTTCTGCTGCTCATTTCTCTTATATCCTTTTAGTTTATATAATAATACAACGACACACTACAACGGCCAAGCACTTTGATGATCGAATTCTGAATGACGTCGTTCATCCAATTCGCTCTGAATTAATCACCACCAAGTCTCTCTTTTCCGGACGCCATAACTTTCGATTTATGGCTTAGCGCTCATCGCCATACCAAAGTCACGTACAACCATCTCTGACACGATATCGTACGCGTAACGTCACCGAAATGCAGTAACTGAGACAAACTGTCCCAATAAGCATTGCATTTTTTGTGCACACCCACTATCCCTCTTATTCATCGATTTATATTTTGACCATGTCAGTGGAAGAACTTGTTTGGGGGAAAATTT